CCAATTTTTTTTTTCGTCGACGTAGACCCCTTGCAGGTTGTCATAGACCCCTGGGGGTCGATATAGACCACTTTGGGAATCACTGATTTAGAGGTTTAGACTCACCACTTTGATTAATTATTGTAGAGAGTAAATGATCATGGCAAACGGGTCGACAGGACAGGTTTCCAGAAGGAAACTCATTACTGGAAGAAGAAGAAGAAATTGTTCATTTTTATGTTATGTTAAAATGCAGAATAACACTTACTGATTTTGCTACAAAAGAAGAATACGGTCGATAGCCATGGTAATACCTTATCTTAATAATACAATAATACAAGTGACTGGTTGTTATAATACATTTTTGTACATAAATTGTTCGTAACAATCACATTTAACAAAAATAATCTATTGCAACACCAATCTTAATATAATAGTCTCATCAAATGTACTTTATTTAGAAATTATATTTTTGCTACGCTTTAAGAAATATATCAAAAATAGAAACTCATTGTTTCTTGCTTTATATTTTTTCAAAGAGTAATCAATAAAAAATTAATATCGACTAAGCTTGAATGACATTTTCTTATCTAAATTTGACAGTGTATTGTTTCTTAAGTTTTAAGGAATTTGATATAAATACTCAGGAATGAATTTTGAAGGCGCAGAGTAAATTCACTCAAACATCATGAAGACTATCGCAGTTCTACTCTCCGTCGTCGCGGTAGTTGTCGCCCTTCCGCCTTGCCCCTGTTTCTTAGCTTACAAGCCAGTCTGTGGATCTAATGGTCTTATTTATGGAAACGAGTGCGAATTGAAGTGTGAACAGCGCACAGATTCTGCCCTAACTTTGGCCTACCATGGAGAATGCCGCAAAGTTTGCCCCTGCACCAAGGAATTCTATCCAGTTTGCGGTACCGACGCAGTCACTTACAACAACCATTGCCTGTTGCGATGTGCAAGTGAAAACGACGCCTCTGTATTATTGATGCACGAAGGTGCTTGCGAGAAGGACCAGAAGCCAGAATCCACAGGGTAAAATGCTTCGGAGAATACGTTCCAATCTGCGGCTTCGACTGAATCACCTATGGCAATAAATGCGAATTAGGTGTAGCCAGACGCACCAAGAAAGATCTCTACATCGTCAAATACGAAGAATGTTGGATTGTTTATCCCAAATATAATTTTCACTTGAATAAAACCATTAATGTGTATAACTTTTATCAATCTATCCATTTTCATTAAATAAAAGACATATACATCATCATATTAACAGTCAAACCTCGCTTAACGAGCAAAATGAATTGCAAAAAAAATGATTCGCTTAACGAGTGACGATGAGAAGTCCCGGATTACGTGTATTTTTGAATATGTTTCACTATAAGAGTAAAAATCCAGAAATTTTGGTACGAATTAAACCCGTTAAGCGAGGTTTCACTGTACATTATTACTATTGCAGCTAATTTTAACTCATTTCGGTTTATATTAATTATATCCGTTACTTATTAAGAACCATATTTATTAAGTCTATGAACTTCTTAGTATAATGTTAACATATTTTAAGCATTTATTCGCCATTTTTTTTAAGTGGCTGAAAATATTTTTGACTCTCTCTCATTTTACATCAACATCGGCATACATACTTCAATATTTTAGCGTTAAGTTATAAATTCACTACCAAAGAAAATATTTGTAATGAGTATCCATTTGTTAAACTAAAAACTACCTACTTTTTCTCGCACACTAAATAATTGAACTTTGAAAAAAAGTAGAATTAAAATTTTAAAATGTTTTATTAATACTAGGGATTTTTCAGTTGGTTTTTCACAGTAAAAATAGATAGATTGGAATTAGGTTATTCATTTTTATGAATGCAAGATCAAATATTAATTTTATCCAAGATCAACTTTTTTTGATTACTAAATTTATGTTAAAATGCAGAATAATACATTCTGATTTTCTTATAAAAGAAGACTAGAAAAGGCACTTCATATTTCAATCATAATAACAAAAGAAAATGTGACCGGTTGTTTTAATACATTTTTGTTCATACTTTTTGTGCGTAACAATCACATTTAATCAAAATAATCTATTGCAACACCAATCTAAATATAATAGTCTCATAAAATTTATAGTAATATACTTTCATTGGAAATTACATTTTTGTTCCGCTTTTTAGAAATTTATAAAAAAAAATGCAACCAAAAATAGGAACTAATTGTTTCTTGCTTTTATTTTTCAATAAAAGTGTAATCTATAAAAAATGTCATATAGACTAAGTTTAAATGGCATTTTCTTATCGAAATTTGACAGTGTATTGTTTCTTAAGTTTTAAGAAATTTGATATAAATACCTAGAAATGAATTTTGAAGGAGCAGAGTAAATTCACTCAAGTATCATGAAGACTATCGTCGTTCTCCTCTTTGTCGTCGCTGCTGCTGTCGCCCATGAACCTTGCCGCTGTTTTCAGTTTGAATCGCCAGTCTGTGGATCTGATGGTCGTACTTATGGCCACGAGTGCTTCTTGAAGTGTGAACAGCGCACAAATTCTGCTCTAACTTTCGCCTATCGTGGAAAATGCCTCGAACATTGCTCCTGCACCAAGGAATACAATCCAGTTTGCGGTACCGACGCAGTCACTTACCACAACTTGTGCCTCTTCGGATGCGCTCGTGAAAACGACGCCTACTTACATAAGCTTTACGATGGTCCTTGCAAGATTGATCATACGCCATAATGCACTACGGAATACGAACCAATCTGTGGATCTGACGAAATCACCTACAGAAACAAATGCGACTTCGACTTCCACAGGCGCACCAAAGCCTACCTCCACTTCATCAAATACGGAGAATGTTAAATTGTTTATCCCAAATGTAATTTTAACTTCAATACAAAAAATTGAGCTTTCGCATTAACTTTTATTAATGTACACATTTTCTTTAAATAAAACACATATACAATATTTATATTGCAGCTAATTTTAACTCAAATTATTCTTCATAGTTCAATATTTAAACGTTAAGTTATAAATTTGTTAAACTAAAACCTACCTACTTTTCATCGCACATTAGAAAATTGAACTTTGAAGAAAACTAGAAATAAAATTTTAAAATCTACTATTAATACGTAAGACTCGAAATTATAAGTGAAAAACAAATTTCCATTAGTCAAGATTACAATGAAACCAATCCAAACCCAGTAAATCCATTTTGTTTTTGGTTTTTCATAGTAAAGATATATTGGAATTAGATTATTCCTTTTTATGAATGCAAGTATTAATTTTTATTCAAGTTATTTTTTTTTGTTGTTGAATGGATTTATCTTAAAATTCAGTATAATACATTATAATTATGTTATAAAAGAAGACTACTATCCATATGACTATTTAAAAGTCTAAATAATAAAATAAAATATGACTGGTTGTCATTGTTCGTAACAATCACATTTAACAAAAAAATAATCTATTGTAACCTTATAAAATTATATGTTTTTCATGCTTCAAGAAATTTATCAAGAAATTGCAAGAAAAAAAGATATGATAACGCAAATATTACGTTTTGAAACGTTTAAACCCAATGTAAATGTATAAAGACAATAGAAACCAATTGCTTCTTGCTTCATATTTTCTTGCAAAGTGTAATCTACAAACAATGTTGTATCAACTAAATTTAAATGGCGTTTTCTTATCTAAATTTGATGGAGTATTGTTTCTTA